CGGCTTGTACACTCAAACATAATTTATTATTATTAATGATATATAGTTTTGTAATTCGACAAGATGAACAAAGTTTTGTGAGATAAGTATGTTCGATTACAAAGTAAATTGTTATTATTATTCTTAGTATATTATTAATCAAATATCGTCTTTATTGTATTATTCATTAATTTTAATGTCGGAAAATAAATTTAAGTTTTGTATATATGTATCTGATTTTGGTGGCGATACTAGGTGCATAGTATTGTAGATTACTTGATGACTCAGTTCACGGCACGTAAAATCAACCAATTAGAATTCTTTAAGCGGACGGACACTTTAGAATTTTAAGAAATTTTATAATTATATTAGCTAATAATTTTAGAAAAAAAATAAATCAAAATAAAAAAATTATGCTAAATTTAAGAATTAGGGCTATTGCAATGAAATATTAAGAAAATATCTCATGCTACTAAAGAAAATGAAAGTCTTGAATTTAGAGGATAATAATAACGTAAAATATGAGATTATATTAACAAAAGGTTATATTAAGCTACTATTCTACACAGTAATATAATAGCGCATCATATAAATAGTTCGTTCAACATATCCCTTATCATTGTTTTATATTAACTAAATTTTTACAACTAAAAATCCGTCTTTGCACAGCCCATAAATTGATATTGCTGTAATTCTTCTACATTGGCACTAACATCAATAAAGGCTGATATTCCTTGGACAGTGTCTGGTAGTGAATCAAGATTGCATTCTATAGAAAATATTTCACCAGCTTTGACTGCAGAAAAACTACATGACTTCGATTGGTCATAGGCGTCATTATATAACTCAATATGAACAATTCCATTTAAAACATTTACGGACGTAAGTTGAGAAACAAAAAAAGTCATGTTTTGATTAGGAACTGGTGGATCGGGTGCAATTACTACATGGAGAGGATTCTTGTCACTGCCACTGCTACATGGAGTAAATGTGGTTCTTTTCTCGAGTGGCATAGAATTTATAACAGAAAAAGTCACTAATAAAATAAACGAAAAAATCAATTTTTGGCTCATCATTTTTGGAATGTATGGCATTTGGTAATGGTATTTTATTTCATAATTAACTTTGGTCATTGCCTTTTTATAAGAAATTTTATCCAAAAAAAATAAATAAAAGTTTTATATTTAGGTTAAATACTCTAAGAAAATTTAATTTTAATTTTATATGAAGAGTAAAATGGGATCTTTGCTGTAGACTAACCCGAATCAGATAACCTTATTCTTTCAAAACTTTGTAAAATTTAGTATATTGATTGGTTAATGATACCTTGTGATTGTGTTTCAAAGTTTTTACATCGACATATCGCAAATTTTTTTTATTATGCAAATCGTGCCAAAATTTATCGAATCTTACAAGAATTTATTTTTGATTTCCGAGATAGCTTGAACTCTTTCTACTACGAAGATGTTTGCTAATTTGTAAATATAATTGTATGGTAAATTTATATGTCAGCGTTTCTTCATTTGTAGTAATGTATGAGATGTAACCAAAAAAAAATTGATATGTGCATAGTATATAAGTGTTCGAAAACAAATAATGATTTACTAAATGTCACCTTATCATATCGATATTGATTCATATTGATAATCATCTCTTTTAATACAGTAATAGCCACTAAACCATATACAGTAATTTCTCCGCAACAAAGCTTTTTCTTGTTAATAACTAAAGTCATTTTATTAAAGTGACTAGAACGATTAGTGTAACGGCTGGTTTGGAAGAGCGACGCATGATGAATACGCAGTGCAGCTCCAATCGCTTCAAGAAGTTATGTGGATTGAATGATACAAGATTCTATAGGACATAGTAATTCTATAAGGGTGACTTAATGATGATGTGAACTTAATGAGAGGAAATCACTATGACTATGGTACTTTATAATTGAAACGAGGTTCTCTTGTTTATTAAAATAAATTATACACTATGGCTAATATGAAAGAGAACACGTTCTGGTACCTACTCTATGACATCAAAGGCGCCACGCTATTGTGTTAGCCTCATGTCAATGTGCACACTGCCTCATTTTGAGAGCTTTATCAATCACGATACTAATTTAGTTAGATGATCAATTACACCAAAAAAAGGTAAGATTATAAAATCAATTCATTACATTAGCATTACACGTATTTGAGTATATCCGACGGGGTGCATCTAGGGATATTAAAAGTTCAATCCGGGTCGGCCTTTTGAGTCCATTTTAAATTCGAGGGACCCTAAGAGACTGAATCCAAATTCATATGTAAGATCAAAGATGGATTTTTATCGGTATTTATATGGATTTAAATACACGCACAAATGCGAATTGAGTCCCAAATAACGAACTTTTTTTAGGTTGGTGACGTTAGCATGTCTTATATGACCAAATAACTAGCAAAATAGTTACTCATTTGTAATTTATTATTAAAGACATTAAAGATAGAAATGCAGTTAGGGCGGTTCTTGATAAATATATAATTTCAATTATCAAAAATCGGCCAACATGGGAATGCTAATATAATGATTTATCGTTATGCCAGAGATTGTTTATCAATATGATATGAAATGAATGACGAAAGGGAAAACC